GTTCAGATTCCCTTCATGTTTAATCATGAACATGCTAATTTTCAAGTCGTTGTGAATCGTACAAAAAGCTGACTTTAGGGTTTCAGAACATAAAATTTTAAGTTTCTTGTTTTTGTTGAGCCACAAGAACACCAAGTTGCATTTGTTTGGTTTGCTCGGCACAAACGAATCTTCAAAATATTTTGATCTTCAAAAATATCTTGCAACAAAGAAATTCCATGTGAACTACAAAACTTGGGACAGGCAATTATGTCAGTATGGCTTTGATTTTTCGATGTACATGTTTTCACATTTCGATCAAACCAAGTTTCAGGCATTGATTTTTCTATCGAGCCACAAGCACACATCTTTTTATACATGTCCAGGTATGCATCTCCATTTGGAAGAGACCAAGTTTTCAGGTTTTGTTTTTCCATTGAGCCGCAAGAACAAGACAAGTTTTCACATGTCCAGCATGTCTTCCATTGAGCCACAGGAACACATGTCTTGCTACATTCCATGTCACATCCAACATAATAAGTCCTAGGACCCGGTTCCATAATGGAAAGGACCCGGTTAGCCCCGGACTGGCATTTCTTCCCTTCAGGTTATGGGAGAACTTGCATCCGCTTCCTCGCGTGCATCTGCCTTTCTTGAAATCGTAGCAGATTTCCCGTCCTCGCGGGGATCGCGACATTGGGCGAGTCGGTGCGGGAGCTGCTCGTCCCGGACTGCGGGAATATCGTCTTGGCGATCCGCGTCGCGGGGAGGATCGTCTGGGTGACGAGCGCCTCGGCGAGCTCCTTCGGTACGGACTCCCCTTTCTGGAGTCACGACGCCCAGGCGATCTTGACCCCCTTTGAATTGGGGATGAAGATCTGCGCGGGCTGCCGTGCGCAGGTGCAGCGTATCGTCTCTGCGCAGAAGTAGACCTCGTAGCGGTGTACATCTTCTCCTGATTGCGTCGTCGGCGCCAAGTTGTAATCGCATTGACGCAGACGGTCCGCAAGTATGCGTAGTTCCGTACGGATACGTCCCTGTCCCATAGCTGCATGTCGAGCTCGAGACAGCGGAACTCACGCACCTGCTCATAAAAGAGAGCGCAGAGAACAGGATCCTCGGGGCGATCGACTGAGATACCAGCGAGAACATGATCCCACCGATTGGAGAAGGCTTCTAACCTTTCCTGCTCGGATCCATGAGTAAACCGATCAATCGTGGTCTTCATCAGGTCAACGAGCTTGAAAGTCGAATCGCCGGTGACATGTGGTCGAAGGAAATCATACAATAGCCACAAGATCTGCCTACTTCCGAGTCGCCGGTTTATCGTATGCATGCGCTCGGTCTCGGTCTGGATCTTATTCTTCAGTGCAATGGATCGGACGCACTCACGGAACGCAGAGTTGCATTCGTTTTCAAGCATTCCGTACTTGCACTCATCGAGGAGATCCTCATACCGTGTACCATCGGGAATCTCAACCCATGATAGTGCGTATCCGGGATCGTAGGCGAATGCATTCGCGACTCGCTCTTTCATATCGACGATCCAGCGTCGCAACTGAGCAGGCTCCGGCTCAGGATCGAGACGAAAGGACTTGCACTTCGCCTTCTTGGCCTCGCTCAGTGATCCATCGCCCTTGGGTCCACCGAATCCCGAATCGTTGGGACCAGGTGGATTCCCAGTCTGTCTCTCAAGACACACGAGACAGATTCTCAAAGGATCTCGGCAACATCCGTTGCAACACGAGAATCGGCAAGAGATGCACGACCGTCGCACGATGGTCGGGAAAATTCCGGTGCATCGCTCGCACTGGAACGTATCGTTCCCACTCGGCCGACCGGAGGGCCTGATGCTAGGCGGATCAAGGCCGCCATCGGGCGGACCACTCCCGTCAGGAGGGCCACCACCACCAGGCGGACCACCAGGTGGGCCACCACCGCCACCGGGACCAAAACCGGATGATGCTAGGCGGATCAAGGCCGCCATCGGGCGGACCACTCCCGTCAGGAGGGCCACCACCACCAGGCGGACCACCAGGTGGGCCGTCGGGTGGGCCACCACCGCCACCGGGACCAAAACCGGACTCGTGGTGCCCATGTCCTCCGAAGCCACCGCCATATGCACCCCCATTATCGTTGGGGCCATCACCACCAGAATAACCGCCGCCTCCGTTATACGCGGGAGGCGGTCCACCAAATCCGGATGGCGCGGCACTGGGTGCAGGAATGGACGTTCTGGCACTGAAGGTGGGCATCGGGGGCATGGCATCATTGGCCGCGTCATGCTGAAGCGTCGCAGTAACGCTCGTGTTCGGCGCAAGGGTAAAAGTACCGGTCTCACTATGGAGAATTGGTGCGCCAGCACCGCTGCCAATGAGATTCGATCGGCCAAGCATCGCATCATACCATCGTGACGGTCCCTTCCCTGCCGGGACAGTTCGAGTGTCATAGTTTGGCATGGGAAGGTCGGGCTTGACTTGGGCTCAGGAGCGAAGCTCCGGGCTTCAGGGACGTGTCGGATGTCAGCGCGAGGAGCATCATCGACTTGAAATGGCCTGAGGCTCGGAGTCTGACCGGAAGTCGCTCCGGCGGCATTTGCGGAAGGAACGGCCTGATTCGGCGATCTTCCTGAAAAAAACGCCGACGTTTGACCAAAATCATGTCGGATGGGCTCAACAGGATTATTTTGCCCACGACTTTCGGCAGGTTGTTCGTCAGCGACTCGTTGCTGCGCTCGCCTCAGAATTTCATCGAGATTGATTCCACTCGTCTGAGAGTGAACCGTTGAGGCCTTTTCAGCAGGCGCAGCATTGCATCCCGGCGGAGAGCCATGATCGATCGGACCCAACAGGGAAGACCTCGGAATGGCCGTAGTCGGTCCGCCAGGGAATAGAGCACCTGGAACTGGCGGCAGGTCCGCAGGGCGTGGAATATCCCCACCATGGTCACTGATATCGAAGAACTGCGTTCGTTCTGGACGCGAAGGCGTCGATCTATCAGAACCGCCTCTGCGGACATGAGCGTTCTCGAGGTGCTGGATTCGAGCAGTCAGCTGATCGATATGAGCTCGGTTACTCTCCTTATGATCGTAGAGAGCGCGACTCATCTCGGATCTGATGACTTCGATGCGGTGAGTAGCATTCTGCTCCACAGCAGCAACGCGCGCTTCGGCATTAGAGATATTGATCTGAATCTGCCGCAGCGCGTCTGGGTACTGCTTGATGTGGCGGATCGTCTCGGCAAGCTGCATGGATAGCGATCCAGCACGCTTTTCGTTGAACTGATGGATCCGCTCATCGAACTCAATAAGTCGATCATTGATCGTCGAGGTGAGCTTCGCAAAATGATCTTCAAGCGTCTCGTGATCAGAAATCCGCCTCTCGCGGAAAGAGTCCTGAAACTGCATGAACAGCTCACGCTCTTTCTTCAATTCGGCCTGAAGAAGCTCCCACATGTCTCGGATCTTGCTCTCAAGCGCTTCGGTGATATCCGAGACGCCGTTCCTCAGTATATCGAGGTCGGCTTGGGTGTTGGTCACACCCTGCGCGATCGCCAGAATATCGGTGGCGATGCGCGCGGATGCTTCCGACCCAATGGCTTCATCGACCAGGGCCCTGACAGCACAGGGTCCGGTATGCCACCCGCCGTTATCGATGGCGGGGGCGGCACCACCATGACCCGCCGCGGTAATCGTTGCGACGGAATCATGGGGTGCACCCGGATGCTCGCTCATGGGCTCATCGGGGAGCGAGGCTCCACCGCGGACAGCCACCGGCCCATAGGAATCGGGGCGCGGTGGGCGGAAGGACGCCGGGTCCGAAATCGGTGGACCACGGCCGTCCGGCCCGGACCCAAAAAGGGCCCGAGCGCCCTCTGGATCCCCGCGAAGGGACAGAGGACAAGCTGAAAGATCGGTCGGAAGAGGAGTAGGTGCGGAAGCAGCAGGAGCAGCGGACGCAGAAAAGGCAGGCAACAAAGGCAAAGCACGAGCAGTGGCAGAAGCAGGCAGCATGCCGGCGGGCATCGTGCCAGGCGTTGCGAAAGCAGCAGCAGCAGAGCATGGCAAAGGCGGCGCATGGTGCTGAGCTCTCTGATCGTCCTCAGCAGGCGGCGAAGCAAGCAGCGAAGCAGAGCGAGCGAGCGAAGCGTGCGAGGCGGGCGCAGTGCAGCGAGATGCGTGGGCACTATCATCGGGCTCCACGACATCCCGAGCAACTGGCGTCACTAGTGAAGAACCGACAGTCGAGGGGACACGGGGAGAACCGATCGGAGTCGCCATTCTCTCGGTGGCGCGGCCAATCACAAGTTCCGAACTTGGTCTGAGCCAGGAAAACGGTAGTGATCGGACGCTGATTGGATCAGGCGGTCCGAGTGCCAAGCAGCAGCAGCGAAGCAGCAATCCACAATCGGATGCGGAGGCCCTACGGCTGATAACCTGTGAAAAGCGGAGGATTCCACTCAACTCTCGGTCACAAAGCCCAAGGCAACCAATCGTAGATAAAAGCAAGGCAGCAGGCAAAGCAAGGATGATCAGAGATTAAAACCGTAAGTTTGACGCTCAGCGGAAAGGCAGCACTAGAACCCCCAGGTGCTAGCGGACCTTTTGCTGGACCTGACGCAAAGTCGGTCTTGAGCTGTCAAGCTGCGTAGTGAGACAAAGTTGGCGTGAATCCTAACCAAGACACAGAAGCACATGTACGCATGTCCGTGACAAATCACACCTAGCATCACTCGCAAGCAGGCTCAGCGACATGGTGCATCTAAAGCTTGCAGCACATTGTTTTGCGACAGCCGCACGGCTGCAGCCAGTCTGGGCGAGCTAAGGTACCTGATCAAGTTGGAACTGCGTGCACGACAAACCCAAAAGCAAAACATAATGCACAAGGTCACGGCGTGCAGCTGGCTCTTTTCGCACCAAAACTGTCAAAACTCGCAGTCGATCTAGCACAGTGGCCGATCTAGGGGGCCGAGAATCCCTGGCACTTCTTGGGCCCTGAAGTCGATCTAGCACCGTTGCCGATCTAGGCAGTCAAGCTCTCGAGAATCCCTTGCAGCTTCTTGGCTCCCAGTTGGGATCCTGCCTTGTGTTCCTTCATCGTCGAGGCCAAGTCACCGGCCTCCTTGAGGATCTCTTCAGTGCCCTCAACGGATGCCCACATCCCGGTCTTCACTCGGGACTCGGCGAGTGCATCCTTGGCCATAGTCATGGCGTTCTTCAAACCCTCCAAGGCTTCGTGGCCAGGCGCCTTTGCCTCTAGCAGAGGCAGCAAATCTGCCATTTTCTCGGCCGAGCTGCTAACAGCTCCTGGGTCCATGTGCATGGAGAAACAAGAAAACAAAAACTTGCTTAATATTGAAAACGGCCAAGAAAAACCGGAACTGATTAAGCGAGCAGCGGTTGAGGTTCTGGAGGTCGGAGATTGCCACCTTCACCTTGTCCTTGAGGCTCAGGGACTTGCTGTCGCCATCCATGCTCTCCTTCACGTTTCTGGAGGTCTTCTTCTCCATGACTTCGGATCTCTCCAGAGTGTCGGTGATCCGCTGGCCGCCTGTCCTGCCTTCGAACCAGTACTTTTTCTCGCCCTTCTTCGACAGGAAGGCCTCTTGCGGACTCTTCAGGTCCCACTGGTCCTCGCTGGACTCGAGCTCGGCAAGCATTTCTTTGAAAAGCTCGCTGTCGACATCCATCTTCAAGCTGTCGGCGACTTCCCAGCGAGTCAGCCAGCCGACGGTGGACTGGCGAGAGCACTTCGTCTTCTTCGACTCCTGCTCCGTGTAGTTCTGGGCCCAGGAACAGGAGCGGTCCAGCTTCCACTTCTGCACGATCTCCTGCTTGCGGGAGTCGTACCTTGGCAAGAGCTGGTAGAAGTTCAGCAAGTCCTTCTGGGGACCACCACCGGCAGCTTTCATCCGGCCCAAGAAGTTGGACACGTCGGCTTTGCTCACTGCCAAGGCCCCTTCCGTGCCTGCCGTGCCTTCAGGAGCATCACCAGGATCAGCAGTCGCCTGCGACTGCTTGGAACTCATCCTTCTTCGCTGCTTCGGCGCAGGTTTCTCGATCTTGACGTTGGCCTTCGCCTTGGCCTTCCCTTTGGGCCTCGCCACACCACAGGCCACTGCCCCCATCGCGAGGCACGTGTTCACGACCATGAACGACAAGAAATAGCATCTTCTACTGCTGTCTCAGGGGAAAAGGACCGGCGACGTTCACGGGCGGTTTGAACCAAGACTGCTGCGATCGAGCAGAGTTCAGGGGAGCATTTTTCCTAAGAATGGCAGCCTAGGATGCAAGTTCACATTTTGGGCACTTGCAGCTGGATCCTCTGGCGATCAAAATTGGCTGTCCTTGCAGCCTAGCTAGATCTATCTTCTCGAGATCCTCCGCCTTTTCGGCGATTGTCCCAAGACCAGAGTGGTATCGCTGTCGGTCTCATAACTGCTGTCGCTTCCGGCATCCTCCTTCTTCTTCTTCTCGGCCTCTTCCGCTTCCTTCTCCAGCCTCTCTTTGTTGGCATTCAGCCAATCCAAATAGACCATCACCATCGGGATAGGATACCGTTTCTCTTTCTTCTCATTCTTCTCGGTGTCAGGGAGTGCTCCGGCCTCCTTGCAATGGCTTTTGTTCGCCATGGCTGCAGGCTGTGGCAAAAGTGACTAAAAGTTTGAGCGACAAAATCCTGCAAATCGGCTCTGATGCTTCTATCCGCCCCTCGCTGCGTGTTTCCCTCCCGCCCTACCTTTTTGCAGAAAAGCCCCTGAATCCTCCCTCCCTCCCTCTGGATCCATGGGCACTGGTACACATCGATGTTCTTGATGCACACCACGATGCTCTTGATGCAGCCTGCAAACAAAAGGGTTTTTAGGGCCTTTAAAATCTTAAGGGTTTTAAGAGGTTGGAATAACTTTTAAAGTTGCAGGCCTTAAGGATGCACGGGCTTTAAGGGTTTTTGGCGTTAGGTTCTCGAACAGCAAGGGTTTAAGAGTTCAAGGCCTTTGAGGGTTTTGAGTGTTTAGGCTTTAGGAGTTTTCGTTTCGAGGGGGTTTAGGGTTTAGGGGTTTTAAGCGTTTGGGAGATTCGGGGTTTTAAGGGCATCGTGGTCTAGGAGTTTCAAGGGTTTAGGGGCTTAGGAGTTCAAAGGGTTTCGGGTTTAAGCGTGCGGGGCCTCTTGGGTTTGCTAGTACAGGACTGAAGGGTTTAGGGTTTGCAGGGTTTTAGGGGCTGGGGGATGAAGGGATCAGGTTTGGAAACTATA